AAAAAAAAAAAAAAAAAAAAAAAAAAAAGGAGAAACAGTAAGCTGAGATTTTTTTTAATGTTTACTTTTTTTAATGACGAATTTATATAAAAATCTAAGAAAACCGATTAATATAAATTCGATTATCAGATTATTATGAAATGAATGTTGTGTATGTATAATAATAGCAAATAAAAACGATGCAATACGATAAAAAAAGAAAAATGCGAGGGAAAAATCTAGAGGACGTGATTTATTTAACAATAACAATATACGAATAAAGGTCTTCAGGATTAGGAAATAAAATAAAAAGAAAGTGAAAAAAATGATTCGGTTGGTGAATAAAAAATGCGTGTATAAGCGCGTATGGAGAAATATCTAGTGGTTATAGTAGCAAATGTTGTCTGCACTCTATGTGTACTTTGTTTATATAACGATACAAACATTCAAAGCGCATACAACCAAAAAAAAATAAAAAATAAAAAATAAAATAAATAAAATAAATAAAATAAATAAATAAATAAATAAAAAAAATATTCTAAGTTGTTGAAATTTTTTTTTTTATGATAAATAAAATAAAAAAAAATGAATATAATAATTATAATAATTTATATATTTTATATATACATATTATATATAAGATTGTACTCGATCAAAACCGTTGGAGAACAGTTCGAAACATCAAATTATTGAAAGGATCAAAAGGTAGATAGACAATATATATACAGTTTTTAATGGAAGATCATTTTATCTTTTTGAAAATAAATAAACTAAAATAAACTATAAGTTGTTACTTTTTTATACTTTAAAATAGAATCCGTTACTATTGTTGAAATTCCCAATCATAATGACATTTCAAAACCATTTATTTATACAGTGTAATTAATTAGACATTCATATAACTTCCCATTTACAAATAATTTAACATGATTTATTTAAGAAAATCCTTTTTTGTTGATACTATCGATTCAAATGTATAATAGTATAAATATGTATAAATATTATAGACTATTATTAAACCTGATTTGGAATAGTTACAGGTTGCAGTATCCTTTTTTGGCATTACCCTTTCAAACTTCGGTCGAGCCTCGTCCTTTCTGTGGCTAAAACCGTGGCCCATTATATTATATACTTATTTATGTGGCTTGACATGAAAGGAAACTTCGTTTATTACTAACTTTTTGTGAAAGATGAATGCAACAAATAATCAAAGTTATTCGCTTTTTACTTTTTTTTCCAACAAATATATACATATATATATATATACATATACATATATATAAATAAAAATAAAAATAAAAATAAATTAAAAATAAAAATAAAAATAAAAAATAAAAATAAAAAAATAAAAAGTAGAAAAAAAGAAGAAAGAAATAAATAAAAAATTAAAAATTATAAAAAAATAAACAAATACAAATAAGAAAAAAAAATTTATTTTTTTTTTAATTAGAGAGATTAATTAAGATTTATTAAAGCAACCGCATGCGGTTCATCTTTAATTAAAACGCATTGTTTTCCTTTGTTAGCAAAAGATTATTTAAGAAGACGAAGACAGAGAATGCGGCTGTGAAGTGGAAAATTTACCAATTATGATCTGAAAAAAGATTTTCAATTAAAAAAAAAAAAGATAAATAAATAAATAAATAAACAAATATATAACGTGCAGATGATATTGGTGAATGACTGGAATGATGAATAACTGCGGTCATATGATATTTTGCTGATTACATATATATAATATATATAAAAATAACGCGTTTAAAAAAAAGAATATTAGAAGGTAAAAAAAAAAATTATTCCTGAAGATGAAGATTATGGTAGAACGACAAACCCAGGACAAGGACAATCATCACAACCATTACAATAATTTAAAAAAAAAAAAAAAAGATTATAAAATTAAAAAAAAAGATTAAAAAGATTTATATTTTTAATTATTACCAATAATAATTTAATATTTTTATCAAAGGCTTTTTTTTTTACCTTATTTGATTAAACATACATTATATAATAATTACCAAATTTAATTAGGATATAAAGAAAATGTCACGTTTCGCGTCCCCATTAGTTTCCTTTATATGACATTGTTTTGTTTTTCAATATAATAAATAATATATATATGATTTAACTTTTACACATGATCTATTCTTAATTCTTTTTGTACAAGAGAATTTCAAAATAAATAAAACTTGTTTCGATTATTTTTAAGCCTGCCTTTGCCCCTGATAATAATGATTGGTAAGCTTTATAAATAAAAACACGATTCATTTAATATTTTTTGATATCGGAATAAAGAATCCGATAAAAAAAAACATTAGATTCGTTATAATTTAAAGTTTTTAAAAAGGCGTTAAATTTGTGACGACGCGAAAATAGTACAAAAACTTTATCATATAACGCGAAACAATTGTAAAAATAACCTTTAACAAGATATAAATAACTATACATGCATAAATCGTATATAAATAAATAGGTAGTATATATACTGTATATATATGTGTGTGTGTTTGTATAATTTATATATATATACATATTAAATATTAAATATAATATATATATATATATATATATATATATATATAGTAATACACTTATACTGTTATATACTGTACACACATTTAATATACAATACATGTCACAATTAAAAATTCACGCGCGATTCTTAGAAAATTATCTAATGATAATGATAATGATATTATTGATATTGATATTGATGATAAAAATTATCTTATAGTAGATATCAAAAAATCTTTAAAAATAAATCTAAAAAGGATTAACAAAGGAAAATTTAATGTAATAATCACTAAAACGGATGATTGATAAATTATCTGTTTCTTTTTTACGATAGAATTATATTATTATGTTTATTATGTGTAATCGCCACATTGGCCACAAACAAAATTCCTAAATTGTACCAGCATAGAAAAAAGAAAAATTCCAAAACTTGTTCTTTCGTGATTTGTGTTACATTTTATGTATTGGCGAGTAAATTCAAGAATCATACTATTTCAGGTCTTATTTTAAATTCCTTATTTGTAATGGTGATCGCGTGTTGTGACACTTATGTAACACTAAAGTATCACCGCATCATAAACAAGTTTATTACGCACCTCGCCTCATTTTTTTTATCCACTTATCTTTAAACGAAATAAACACTTATCAAAGCTTGCAACACCGCCACAAAAAAATTTTTTCTTTCAAATTTCAACACGCGATTGTTCAAGTAAATTAAAAAATGTGTTACAGGTAAATAAAATATTTTTTTTTACAGTAAAGATGTGTAATAAATAATTATTATAATAATTGGATAAATCCAAAAAATAAAAATTTTGTTTCTTTGCTTTTAGCAAAATCTGTCTCTTATACACATCTAGATGTGTATAAGAGACAGGTATAAAGTTTTGGCGCCTTTTTTTCTTATCCAAAAATTTTGTAACCATTTGGTTGATCAATTTTTTTTACTCGTGTGTAACCAATTGTATATCAAAATTCCTTAATTAGGACACAAATTTAAATTATTTGGTCCATTGAATCTCGTTATTTTTCTTGCTTTGTTTGTTCAAAATTTTCTATTTATGGTAATTTTCTTTTATGCGCCTTACTTTTAGTACATTTGAAGTATGAATATTACTATTTTATGATATTCATATACTGTAATGTAAATCTTATTATTATTATATAATAAAAGTCTAGATCCTGTCTCTTATACACATCTAGATGTGTATAAGAGACAGGTATAATTTATGTGTAAACTAAATATTTGGATACCATGTGCTCTCAATCTCAGAAAATAGAGTTTTGGCGCCTTTTTTTCTTATCCAAAAATTTTGTAACCATTTGGTCTGTCTCTTATACACATCTAGATGTGTATAAGAGACAGATATAATACTATGATGGCTTCTTAGGTAACTTTTTCTGATCGTTTTCCAGGTTCCAACAATTTTTCTATAATTTTAATTTTTTCTTTTAAACTTCTAGTTAATAATGATTCACGTCCTTTAAATGAGTAACGTATAATATTTTAAGCATACTAGTGTACAATATTTTTATTTTACTAAAAATAGTTTTCATGTGATAAATAATTGCTTTTGTATGTGTACGGCAAATCGAATTTTTAATTGAGAACAAATAAAAACATGGAATTTACTAAATGAAATGTTTTCAATTTGCAGCCAAATTTTATTTATTTATTTATTTATCTATTTATTTATTTATTTTTATTATATTATAATACTATTATTACTAGTTTTAGTCTTTTGGCTGATTACTATGGTATTAAAATAACCTAAATTAGCCATCGAATTTTTTAAATATTGTTAAAATAGGTACCGAATGAGTTTTACATGTTTTACATATTATTTAAAAGTTACTTAAAAATTTGTAAAAATTTAAAAATTAATATATTTATTAATTATTATCATAGTTTATAAAATTTCATAGCAAACTTTCAATTTAACATTTCAAACAAAATATCAATTTTTATATTATTTAAAAAGCTCAAAAATTGTTTTATCAAAACCTATTTTTTTTTTTGTATTTATACAAAAAACTTATGCAAAATATTTGTTCATATTTTATAATAAAGTTTTCAAAAAATGTAAGTTTTTTAATATATGCTTAATTTGTGCATATTAAAATTAATGGTTAATTATAAAATAAAGTAATTTTCAATCCTATTTTTCTTTAAATTTACTTATATAAAAGTTTTAAATATACAGTGCATATATTTAATAAAAATCTTTAGCA